ATTTTTAAGCACTACTATACATACTCAGACAGACCTAATCCTCTGTAATTCTGTCTCCCTGAGATTTTATGCATTTATAAGGAAGTCATGATTCTTGTTACTGAGTACCACTAAAGATGGACAAGTATAAACATTTCAGAGTTGGAGTATCTCAGATCTAATATCCAATATATACAGGGCCGGGTGCAGTGGCTCACACCTGTAATCACAGCACTTTGGGAGGCCGAGGCAGAAGGATCCTCTAAGGTCAGGAGTTAGAGACCAGTCTGGCCAACAAGGCGAAAACCCGTCTCTACTAAAAATACAAAAAATAACCAGGCGTGGTGGCGGGTGCCTGTAAGCTCAGCAACTTGGGAGGCTGAGGCAGGAGAATTATTTGAACCTGGGAGGCAGAGATTGCAGTGAGCTGAGATTGCACCATTTCCCACCAGCCCGGGCGCCGAGAGCGAAACTCCATCTCAAAACAAAAACAATACATGTGGGTGCCTGATTTCAGTATGGATATTCTCGCTCCCATCCCCTCGGTCCTTCCCCACCCTCTTGGTAGACAATCCAGCCCTAATGCTAACAGCACTCCCCAGCACGTGCAGCCCCTCTCATTAGCCTGTATCCACAAGAGGCATCACTAATCAACCACTGCACTCTTCAGTTGAGCCTTGATATGCCTTAGAGTCCTTCACAACCTAGCCTGCCAGGCAATTGAAGTGGTCACAATAGATGAAATGTATTTGCTATCTTAATTGAGTCCTAGATTGAGTTTGGAAAAATGTCTCCATCTCCATCTTGACCTGCTGGGCCTCTTTGCCCATCAGTCTTCAACCCTCAGCCCTGAGTTCACTTGTCCTTCCCTGTACATCCTCACTTAGGGGTGGAAAAATGGTGTGGTTATAAAAATGGTGTCCCACGGTAGCTCTCCAGAGTGCTGGAACTAGTCTGTCTTCAGATAGTAACATGAACTGATAGAGAAGTTAAAACACATCAGCTGGGCATGGTGGCTCACACCTATAATCAATCCCAGCACTTTGGGAGGCCGAGGTGGGCAGATCACTTGAGGCCAGGAGTTTGAGATCGGCTCTGCCAACATGGTGAAACCCCATCTCTATCAAAAAATACAAAAATTATTGAACCCGGTAGGCAGAGGTTGCAGTGAGCTGAGATCGTACATGGTGGTGCTCGCCTGTTAATCCCAGCTACTCGGGAGGCTGAGGCAGAAGAATCACTTGAATCTGGGATGCCGAGGTTGCAGTGAGCTGAGATCACACCACTGCACTCCAGCCTAGGTGACAAAGTAAGACCCTGACTCAAAAAAACAAAACAAAAACAAATCTGTACACCAAAAGAAAGGAAAATTCAATCCAAAAATGTTTAACATAAATGAGGGTGGGAGCCAGGCATTCTGGCTCACAACTATACTCCCAGCCTCAGGAGGCTGAGGCAGGAGAATCACTTGAGGCTAGGAATTCGAGACCAGCCTGGGCAACATAGCAAGACCTCATCTCTTTTTTGTTTGTTTCTTTTGAGTCTCACTCTGTCACCCAGGCTGGAGTGCAGTGGCATGATCTTAGCTCACTGCAACGTCTGCCTCCAAAGTTCAAGGAATTCTCCTGTCTCAGCCTCCCGAGTAGCTGGGACTACAGGCATGTGCCACCACATCTGGCTAATTTTTGTATTTTTAGTAGAGGTGGGGACTCACCATGTTATCCAGGGTGGTCTCTAACTCCTGACCTCAGGTGCTCCGCCTGCCTCGGCCTCTCAAAGTGCTGGGATTACAGGCATGAGCCACCTCACCCAGCCAAAGGACTTCATCTCTTAAAAAAAAAAAAAAAACAACAAAAAACTTCATATAAATATTAGTCAAAGCCAGGCATGGTGGCTCACGCCTGTAATCCTAGCACTTTGGGTGGCCGAGAGTGGGGAGGCGGGTCACCTGAGGCCATGAGTTCAAGACCAGCCTAGCCAACATGGTGAAACCCCATCTCTACTAGAAATAAAACTAGCTAGGCATGGTGGCAGGCACCTGTAATCGCAGCTACTCGGGGAGGCTGAAACACGAGAATTGCTTGAACCCAGGAGGTGGAGGCTTCAGTGAGCCTAGATCGCGCCATTGCACTCCAGCCTGGGCAACAAGAGTGAAACTCCATCTCAAAAAAAAAAAAGAAAAGAAAAAAAAAAATAGAAATGATGGCCTTGGATAAAGGTATTAGCTATGGAAGTGATGAGAAGCAGTCAGACTCGGGAGATATATATATATAATTTTTGGTTTTTGTTTTGTTTGGAGACAGAATCTGGGTTGAAGAGATTTTCCTGCCTTGGCCTCCAGAGTAGCTGGGACTACAGACGTGCATCACCACACCTGGATAATTTTTTGTATTTTTAGTAGAGACGGGATTTCACCGTGTTAGCCAGGATAGTCTCAATCTCCTGACCTCATGATTTGCTCGCCTCGGCCTCCCAAAGTACTGGAATTACAGGCGTGAGCCACCGCACCTGGACAGTATTCATAGTTCTTTAGCTTCTCAGGTGACCCTCGTCTAAACCTTGGATTTACCCATCCAGCCTTTCCACAGATTCTATTGGTTCTGCCATTAAAATATATCCCAGGTCTCACACCTGCAATCTCGGCATTTTGGGAGGCTGAGGGGGGCGGATCACTTGAGGTCAGGAGTTTAAGACCAGCCTGGCCAACATGGTGAAACACCCTCTCTACTGAAAATACAAAAATTAGTGAGGCATGGTGGTGGGCACCTGTAGTCCCAGCTAGTCAGGAGGCTGAGGAAGGAGAATCGTTTGACCCCAGAAGGCGGAGATTGCAATAAGCCGAGAGTGTGCCACTGCACTCCAGCCTGGGCAGCAGAGCAAGACTCTGTCTCAAAAAAAAAAAAAAAAAGAATACCAATAAACAGCCCCTCCACCTCCAGACCTAGCATTGGTATGGGTCTTAAAAAGCTTGCCAGATTGCCAGGTGTTTCAGATCTGCAGCCAGACTTGAGACCAACCTAAAACAGCATTTCTCAAAGTTTGAAGTGCATGGGGGACACCTGAGAGTCTTGCTAGACTCAGCAGGTAGAGGCAGCGCCCGAGTCTTTGCCTCACACGTGACGCAGGTGCTGCTGATGCTGCCGGTCTATGGTTCGCACACTGAGTCCCGCCTAGAGCTCGTCCGCTCTGCCAGCCTCTGCTTCTCTGATGCCCTGCTTCTATCAAAAAGTGAGTCCCATCAGCATTACCTTGAATATATCCATAGTTTGACCACATCTCACTTTCTCTACCGCACTGGTGCTGGCCACTGTCCCTGTGTCACCGGGACAACCATCGTAGCCTCCCGGCTGCCTTCCCCCTCCTTCCATGTTTCCACTGACCGTGATTTTTCTGTACAGCAGCTAGAGTAGCCTTAAACTTCAGCTCAGATCATATTGCGGCATTCTCTGCTCAGTTCCCTGCAAAGGTCTACACAGCCTGCAATTTCGCCTCGCCCCTTCTTTTGATCTTATTTCCTGCCACTGTGTATCTCTTCCATGTTGCTCCAGCCATACTGGCCCCTGTACTGAACCACAAGCGTATTCCTGCACCTGGACCTTTGCCCTTCTCTCTCCTCGAAAGCTTCTCCCCTGTATCCACGTCACTTGCTCCCCCACTTCATCCAGGTCTCTGCTCAGATGTCCCCTCATCAGAAAGGTCTGCCCTGACCACCCTGTTTAATTAGCACTCACTCCCCTACCACCTCCACCTCACTCTCCCCTTTATTATCTATTTATTTATTTATTTATTTTGAGACAGTTTTGCTCTGTTACCCACGCTGGAGTAGAGTGGTGCCATTTTGGCTCACTGCAGCCTCAGCCTCTCGGGCTCCAGCAATTCGCCTGACTCAGCCTCCCAAGTAGCTGGGACTACAGGCTCCCACCATCATGCCCAGCTCATTTTTGTATTTTTAGTAGAGACAGGGTTTCACCATGTTGGCTAGGCTCGTCTCAAATTCCTGACCTCAAGAGATTCATCCACTTCAGCCTCACAAAATGCTGGGATTATGGATGTGAGCCACGGTGCCCAGCTCTCTCCTCTTTATTAATTATCTCTTACTGTGTAACAGATTATCCCCAAGATGAATGACTTAAAACAGTAATCATGGTGTACCATTTCACCTGGCTGCTGTGGAACCGGAATTCAGAAAGGGCATAGAGGAAACAGCTTTCTCTGCTCACAATGATTGGGACTACAGCTGTAACAGTCAGACGCTGAGGACAGAGATCACGCATTCTTTGTCACCCAAGTGTAGCTGAGGCTGTCACTCAGAAACTCCAATGTGGCTTCCTTGTGGCTTGAGCTTCCTCGCAACATGGTGGCTGGATCCCAAGGCCAATCATCCCCAAGAGACAGAGAGCTGGGCAAAAACGGACCCTAGAAGCCACATCGCATCACTCAGCTGTATTCTATTCACCAGATGTGGGCACGCAGAGCAGCCTGTGCTCAAGGATAAGGAAACCAGCCTTCATCCTCTGAAGGAAGGAATGTCAAGGAATTTGCAGACATATTTTTAAATCCCTATGCTCCCCCTTACCTTGCTTTTTCTTGAGAACTCTATCTCTTCCTGATACCAATTGTGTGTCTGTTTGTTTATTGACCTTCTTTCCCATCAAAATGTCAATATCTGGAGTTGTGCGCAGTGGCGCACGCCTGTAATCCCAGCGCTTTGGGAGGCCAAGGCAGCGAATCACCTGGGGTCAGGAGTTCGAGACCAGCCTGACCAACATGATGAAACCCTATCTTTACTAAGAATACAAAAATTAGCCAGATGTGGTGATACATGCCTGTAATCCCAGCTACTCAGGAGGCTGAACCTGGGAGGTAGAGGTTGCAGTGAGCTGAGATTGCGCTACTGCACTCCAGCCTGGGCAACAGAGCAAGACTCCATCTCAGAAAAAAAATCAGTATCTGCCTTGCTCACTCCTGCCTCCCCTTTGCTTATAGGCATGTGTAATACATAGTAGGTGCTCAATATATATACACATATGAAACGCTTTGTGAATTTGCCAGTCTTCCTTGCTCAGGGGCCATGCTAATCTCTGTATTGTTCCAATATTTGGCATATATTTTTGAATGAGTTAATTACCATGTATTCATCTCTGATAGATTTTGAAAACAAACTGGTTGCTGGGAATCCAAAGAACTGGATTGAGCAGCGGGGCACGGTGGCTCATGCCTGTAATCCCAGCACTTTGGGAGGCTGAGGCGGGCAGATTACCTGAGGTCAGAAGTTCGAGATCAGCCTGGCCAACATGGTGAAACTGCATCTCTACTACAAATACAAAAATTAGCTGGGCAGAGTGCTGGGTGCCTGTAACCCCAGCTACTCAGTAGGCTGAGGCAGGAAAATCACTTGAACCCAGGAGGCGGAGGTTGCAGTGAGCCAAGATTGTGCCACTGCACTCCAGTCTGCATGACAGCAAGACTCCATCTCAAAATAAATAAAGAAATAAATAAATAAAAATACAAAACAATTAGCTGGAAGTGACGGCCGTCGCCTGTAATCCCAGCTACCTGGGAGGCTGAGGCAGGAGAATCGCTTGAACCTGGGAGGTGAAGTTTGCAGTGAGCTGATATCGCGCCATTGCACTCCAGCCTGGACCACAAGAGGGAAACTGTTTCAATTAAAAAAAAAGTAAAGAACTGGATTGAGGGAAAGACAGTCAACTCACGGAGAAGATGAGCAGAAGAAAAGCTTAATGAAGCCACGACTGTAACCATGAGGACTCCATAGCTGAGGGCAGGTCAGAGGGCTGCTTTCCCAACTGGCCTTGGCTGTAACCAAGCAGGTATCTAGCAGCCGGGGCAGCTCACCTAGGAGTGCCTGGCACCCGCTTCTTGGGATTATCTCTAATCTATACAAGTGAGTGACTTGCCTTCCCAAAACGGGTGCTTGTTCCAGAAGGGAAAGAACTGTGTCTTTTCTTTCTTTTTTTTTTTTTTTTTTGAGACGGAGTCTTGCTCTGTCCCCAGGTGTCAGGCTGGAGTGCAATGGCACGATCTCGGCTCACTGCAATCTACCCCTCCCAGGTTCAAGCAGTTCTCCTGCCTCAGCCTCCCTAGCAGCTGGGACTACAGGCTCTAGCCACAAGGCCCAGCTAATTTTTGTATTTTTAGTAGAGACAGGGTTTCACCATGTTAGCCAAGATGGTCTTGATTTCTGATTTCTTGACCTCGTGATCCGCCCTCCTTGGCCTCCCAAAGTGCTGCGATTACAGGCCTGAGACAC